TTCTCATTGAGTAGTCCACTACAACATTAGGAACAAGTGACTTGGACTCTTATCTTTAACGGGTATCTTCGAACTCTTATCTTTCTCGGGTGACTAACATTTATCTTTCACGGGAGACTTGGAACTCTTATCTTTCATGGGTGTCTTCGAACTCTTATCTTTCTCTAGTGACTTGGAGCTCGTATTTTTCACGGGGGTCTTTATTCGTGTTACATTCCAAATCGTTGGTAAAATTTCTTTAACTCCTAAAGAAGTTGTAACCATTGTCGGTTTTGTTTGCATAATTTATTAAATAAGAGTTTTCAAGCTACTAATATTATGTTATTGTCTAATATTGTATATACATAGTAATCATTTAGTTCGTTACTTATGTTGAATGTTGATGATTAACCCATCCTTTTTTGGTTGTTGGTTTTACCATGATATTTATCATGCGTATACATATTATTCATCATGAATATAATGTAGTTTTAACTCTACATATTTTAGTTTTCCTTTTTTATTTATTTATTGGGTTCACGATTGATCTGGATGAGTTCCCGATTCGTCTTAATAGATTTCATGATCCACCTCGAAAGTTAAAAGTGGTAGCTTATGGTTGTACACAAACAAACACACAATAAATTAATCAATAGGTTCTCAATCGGTCTCGATGAAAAATGAATGTATTTTGTTATGAGTTTTAAAACACACAACCACACACCAAGTCAATGGATGGGTTCTTGATTAGTCTTGATTGGTCTCGATTCGTTTCGATCGTTCCCAATGGATTGTCGATCAACTTTGATGTGTTCTTAATTGGTCTCATGGGTTCCCGATGCGTCTCGATAATAACTGAACGTGGTAGCCTATGGTTTTACATACACAAACAAATAATAGATCAATCGATAGGTTCTCGATGAAAAATGAAGGTAGTAGGTTATGGTTTAACACACATAAATACATACCAAGTCAATGAATGACTTCTTAACCTTTCTCGATCGGTCTCGATGGGTCAATCAATCTCGACCCCCTGTTGGCTTACGGTAGACACGACCAAAAACTGGTCTCCGAAACAGTAACAATTCGGACCGGTCCCATCGAAAATAGTAAGGCCCGATTAAAGGTACTTGTGATCGGTTAGGGTAATCTGTCCCGGTTCCAATCCCGGGAACCGGTCCTATATTAAAAAACATTTTTTAAAATATTTTTTTGATAAATTTTTAACAATACTTTAATGCTATTCTAATTCACTTTAAATTATGTAATTCGGTCAATCAAATACACTTAAACATTACGTTTTATTGTTGTTTTATAATTGGTTTTCAATCAAATACACTTAAAAAATATGTTTTATTATAATTTTATAATTGGTTTTCAATCAAATACACTTAAAAAATACATTTTATTGTAAAGTTGTAATTGATTTTCAATTAAATACACTTAGAAAGTTAGAAATAGATTTAAAAATACATATAAAAATATATTTTGCTTGAAAAAATTGGGTAGCGCTAGCCGGGCCGGGTTAGGCTTCTTTTTTTTTTTGATAAAAACCATAATCGGTCCATAATCGACGGTCCCAAACTGGTCCCAATCGATCCTAGATCTGGCCGGTCCCAAGTCGGTCTCGGTCCCAGTCCTCCGCCAGTCCCAGGCCGATCCCATTTGACCATCTCTAGGTTATGGTGATGAAGAACATGATATCTTACGACGGTGAAGAACGTGTTGAAAAAGGTGATGTCGAGTTACAGATTTATGGTGTCGAATTGTTGTACACACATATATAATTTCACGTAAAAACGAAATAAAAAAAACTATATCGAGATGGATGTCATATTGAAGGGCGTGAAATTCTCGTTTTTTATATACTTTTTGATTAAAATATTAGTAATTTTTAAAATAATTTATTTTTAAGGAGGTAAAAGTTTTTAATTAAAAAGAAAATAAAACATTAAAAAAGGTAGGCGTGAGACTAAAATTAACTTTCTTTTTACTATTTAATTACCTTAATTTATAATTTTAATAAAAAAACTCTATTTACTATGAGTTGTTGGATCAAATAAGATGAAGGATCAAGATCGGTCCCTACGTTCATAAAAGAATAAATTTCCTCTTTATATATTACAATATTATTATATGAAGTGTAACTTAATTTGGATATTGTAAACTTTGATGTGAGTTAAATGATTTCAAGCTTCTAGAATATTGCAAATCAGTTAACTGGTTTTAACCTGACTCGTATTAATTGAATCGACTTGATAACTAAGGAGTTTCACACCAAGATTTGATCGAACTTCGACTTTTTAGTAGTGATAAAGATTTCTTTTACAAAAGGACGCTTTTGACCTTTTTTATTTCTCTTTGTTGTTGTTGCTCCCTTTTACTTAAAGTAATATGAAGAAGATACCATGATTCACACTAAGCTCGGAAATTCTCCGAGAGTGAAGTACGTAAACCAATTTGAATACTTTTATCATAAAGTGTAAGACTCGTGTCCGAATTCCTTAGATCAATTTCTTATGAACAGTTTTATATGCTTTCAAATGTATGTAACAGTGAATACAAATTCTGTACACTTAATTGATGAAAAATAGGCACGAATAATTATTGAAAAGGAAAAAGGAAAGGATGTAAACAAATCATTAGTTGATTGTCAAAAGCTACATTATAAAAATATAAAGTTAGACATGTTATCATTAGAATAAAAAATATTCATTACAGATGAATTGATGTCACCGGTTAAATTGTAGCATTATATAAAGTTGTAGTATAAACTCGATTTATCAAACCAGTTAAAACAATGCACCAACAGAACTGGAGAGTCAGATGATTATGCATATGTGGATCTTTTACCTGTATCAAGATGTTATAATTTATTAATTAATTGTATACATTTTCTTTTACTAGAAAGGTACTCGCGCAATGCAACGAAATAAATCTCCATTTTAATGTTTAGTTTTTCTATTTTTCTCTATCGATATAATACGATTTTATGTGTTTTTGAGAAAACGATAATGTTTTTATTTTTGAATGAAATATAAATTTGAAGATAGCATAAAAATTTGAAAAAAATAAATCTATATTAGTATCAAATTAACTATTAATAATTCTCGTTTTTTTGGTGTAACTTTTTTACTTCAATTTTTTATTATGTGTTAATTTAGATTTAATAACAAAATAATTTTTTATAAAGATAATAATTGAACATTCTGTTAGAACTCAATGATTATCTTAATTATAATTTAGATTTTTTATATTTAAAATGAATGTTTATCCGGTATTTGATTATGTTTATCTGCAGTTAGTTACACGAAATTCAAAATGGAGTTTTAATAAGTTGTACTTATTCAAAATTACTTGTAATCTTGAATTTTAAATAATATGCATCAATAAACAGTACTTCAAGCATAAAAAATGGTTTTTAAAAGTTTTTGTCAAATGTTTTATAATATTGTATAGATAGTTCACAAATAAGATATTTAATTTCTTTTATTGAATTTTAAAACTTATTATTTCTTTGTGAAAAATATATGTTTAAAAAAAATATTTCTTGATACTTCCTTCGTGCCAAGATAAATGTTCACAATGAAAAATGCATATAATTTTAAGAATATGTAGTTATTACACTTTTAAATAACAAAATGTCAATTTAATCTTTAATTATAAAGAGAAAAAAATTATTCATCTTATAATTAAGGGTATAATGGAAAAAATACATGTTTATTTTTTAAGAACAGTTATCTTGTGACAAACTAAAATAATAAATGCAGACATGAAAACAAAATAATATATATGTTTATTTTTTAAAGTGAATACTTATTTTGTGACAAATTAAAATAATAAATACAGACATGAAAACAAAACATTATATATATATATATATAGAGAGAGAGAGAGAGAGAGAGAGAGAGAGCGAGCTTGGTTCAGATGTTAACCAAGATTATTGTGTTAACTTTGTTAACCAAGCTCAACCATTGAAAATCAATCTTTTTTTAGGTTCACATACATCTCATATGTTAATGACAAGGGTAATTAAGTAAATTTACCATTTTGTGTAACTCCCATATCATTAATTGGGAGTTACAAAATATAGAAATCCCATAATTGATGATGATTTAATATTGATCTTGTTTTTGAATTTGTGATTATTTTTGAAATTTGATTTATCTATCTATAATGTTATTGAATTTGTGATTGTTAAAGGATTTCCGATAGTAAAGTTTTCGATAGGGACACACAGAGACATATGAAAACATATGAACACATCAAAAACCACACAACCTTAGATGTCGTGATTCATAAGTGTTCATGTCTATTCAAGTCACTAGATGTTCATATGAATCCATATATACACACACAGAATATGTGAAGACATATATGAGCACGTATGAAAACACACAACCCTACACTACAAAAATGCAAAGTATCAGCGAGGGAAAATTCCCTCGCAAATCCCTCGCTGAAAGGGCAATCCGTCGCTGATCCGTCGCTGATACTCCGTCGGTCAAACAGTCGTAGGTAATGCTATCAGCGACGGATTTGCGACGGACACTTTCAGCGACGGATCAGCGAGGGAAATATTTAGCGACGGATCTGCGAGGGATCAGCGACGGATATATCAGCGACGGATCTGCGACGGATTTGCGAGGGAATTTTTAGCAACGGATCTGCGAGGGAACTTTCAGCGACGGATCTGCGAGGGAAATTTCAGCGACGGATCTGCGACGGAATTTTTAGCGACGGATTTGATAGGAAACTTTCAGCGACGGATCAACGACGGATTTTCAGGGAATTTCAGCGACGGATTTTTCCTCGCTAATCCGTCGCTAATTTGTATAAAATTAAAAAATAATTTTTTTAAAAATGCATAAATCCTTTATTTATTTATAAAAAACCTGGAAATAATAATATATAACAAACCAAATCTGTGAACAAAGTAACCAATTAATACGATTTAAAATATGAATTCATACAATTTAAAATATTCAATTCATACAATTTAATCTTCGAATACATATAATCTAACTATCGGGGGGAGGTGGGAAAACGTATCCTGACTGCCGCATAAACGCAGCAAAATGCTCCGATAATGCGGCCTGTTGGGCTAATGCAGCAGCTTGTCTGGCCTGTTCAGCTGCCGAGGCAGCTTGTCTGGCCTCCAAATCTGCCMTATTCTTCCKTTCGGTCTCGAGTTCCTCTTCTACCCTTGACAACTTCTCTCTCAACTCCGTTACCTGTAAATATTTAATATTCTTCGAAATCAGTAATTTGTTCGCAATTTTAGTAATGAGAAAGTTTATAACAATATAACCAACGTACCTCCGCTCTTGACTCGTATGATGACCCGCTACTGCTACATCTACCCGTCATAGCATAAGAGGGATCCTGGGTGGTCCCGAAACCAAATATTCGGCCTTTCATCCGTCCTCCAACACTTTGCTCCCAAAGAGATGCCTCATCAGGGAGAGGGCTGTCGGTACTAGATTGTGACTCACCCCTAAGCGATTGAAATCGCTCCTATGGTTCACCAAAACAAAAAACGGGTGAGGTTATGTATGTAGATATTTCAGTAGCATAACGACTGTAAATCAAACATAACCAATGCATGTATTTAACAACTAAGCATTCTAATAATACCAATGTTCGAAGTCGCATTCTCAAACCTACTTACTTAGCCTAACGTCTGCCCAACAATGGCAGCCCAAACTAATAGCATCACTATGTTTATTGAAATATATTACCTTAAACCTACCAAACGTATCTATTAACCAAAGTAATGGTTTTAGAAAACTTACATGATACCTAGCAGCTTTCGGGTAACTGAACTGAGGAAGATCGGTAGGCGGTTCGGACGAACCTTGATCGAACTTTCGGTTCGTGCAGTGAGTACGCTCAAACACCTCAGTAGCAGTAGGCTCACGACCCATTACTCGTGCCTACATTAGACAATTAGGTTAAGTTGTTACTAACATAAAGAACGAATTACATTTTCAAAAAAGATTAGATACTCACCATCCTGTCTCGATGTTGTGCCGTACTAATCGATCCCCCAGTGTGTCTGGACGACACCCCCTCAAACTCGGTGTTCCGATTTGCCCCATTGATCCTGGATTTCTTTTTCCAAGCCTCAGTATCCCAGACCTGTTAAAAACAGAGCACATATATAAGGCGAAAGGTGGTACACATGGCAGTTCGAAAAGCTCACAATAGAGATGCATACCGTGTCAATCATTTGTAGCCAAAACCTGTCTGGTATCCATACGGGATGGTGTAATCTAATCCGTGAGAAGTCCTCACCATCCCATTGTTGATCACCAGGATAGGCCTGTGCCACGACCCAATCACGTGCAGAGCTCATCCAATCAGAGTACCAGTTGTGCATGGCTTTGGTCCATAATGAATGAACCGTGTCATCCAGCTCAGGATCCCATTGGAACTTAGCCTACACACACAATGTTTGTATAAATGTAAAAACAATAATTTTGTATGTATAATGTCATTAAAATGGTACACCAACCCTAAAGCGCTGGAACATCAAGTCACGTGCTTCCTGAGGTACTTCCTTCCATYTATGCCAYRGACMAGCAAAGGAAGACCTGAAGATAGTCGTCATCTCTCGGATAACATGGGCATCTTTAAACCTGTACAATTAAACAAATATTTTCAACACAAAGATAGTCATATTAATTTATTATGTAATACAAAGTCTTATACCACATCTACTTACCCATGGCCTAA